TGAGGTATGTGGCTGATGTATATACTAATTTATAGAAGACAGGTCTAAATGATAGATAGATAGATAGATAGATAGATAGATAGATAGATAGATAGATAGACAGACAGATAGATAGAAAGATAACCTTTATTGTCATTTTTTACTGTGGGCACACTGACACACATTAAAAATGAAATTCTGTTGCCTGCTCTCAAAAGTGTACATATACATAACACACATATAAACATGTTATATACATAGGTATATACCTACACCCTTACATATAAATACATATAAATGTTAATCACTGTCCATCTTGAATATGAAGTGGAAAGAGGAACCTTGAGAATTCACAAGGCTGATACTATATGAAACAAAACTGACTGAATCTGGACGTTCTGCTTCAGATACTACCACGAACCCTTCTCCCAGAAGATAACAAGGAAAACAGGTCATGAAGAGGATGTGTAGTGCCCCAGGCAATACTGCTCAAACAATGCTTACACACTATGTCCTGGATAAAAGGGAGTGAACTGCCAATAATCATTTCTGCCATCCTCACCACTCTGCACCACCTTCTTCTCTGATGCAGTAATGCTTCCAAACCAGAGGTAATGCAATATGATAGGATGTTCTCAATCAACTCTCTATATAAAGTGGTAAGGACAGGGGTAGGAAGATGTACTTTTATCATGCGACACAAAAAATGCAGGGGCTGCTGTGCCCGCTTCACCAGTGTCTCACTGTTGAGTGACCAAGCCAGCCTACCCGTTAGCTGCACACCCAGAAATTTGATGCTGCTAACCATTTCCACAGGTGAATAATTAATACATAGAAGAGTGTGGCTGTACCTGCCTTTTCTGAAATTGACAATGATCTCTTTAGTTTTTCCAGTGTTTAAAACTAGGCTATTTTTATTATACCAGTTCACCAAATCCTCAACCTCCTTGCGGTAAGCACCCTCCTTGTCATCTTGAATAAAGTCCAGTACTTGAATAAGGCCCAGTTGTATCGTCCATTGGTGGCAAACCAAGCGCAACAGTCATGGGTCAACAGGATGAACAACAGTGGACTTAGGACGCAACCCTGAGGAGAACCTGTGCTCAAGAAAATGTTAGAAATATTAGTCCCAACTCGCATATACTGCGGCCTGTCAATAAGAAAATCAAGAATCCAGTTGCACAAAGATATATTTAACGCCTAAAAGGTCCAGTTTGTCTACTAGATGCTGAGAAACAATTGTATTAAATGCTGAACTGAAGTCGGCAAACAGCATTCGTGCATGAGTATTTCTTTTCTCTAAGTGTGCCAAGCTCAGATGGAGAACAGAAGAAATAGCTTCCCTCTGTAGAGATTTGGACAGCAAGCAAATTGAAGCGAGTCAAATGCTAGAATACCCACAATCTACTCATGCATACAGTTGATAGGTGAAGAGTTTGTCCAAGTGTTTCTTGAAAAAATTCCATATGAAAAGTAGGTGTAGAATTTTATGTCAATGTCATACATTGTTTGAGTGATGTGCCATGAGCGTATACTACAGGAATGAATAGGAACAGGATAAGAAATATTAAAGCATTGACAAAAATGGTTAAATTAAAATGCAATAACTAAATTAATAAATATAATGACTCTTGATGCATTTAATGATTTCATTCTTCTTTCTTGACCATCACTCCCTCCAAATGAGCTTCAGTTTCCAAATGTAAGCCAGAGGACTCAAGGACTATATGTGAAGGAACCACCACTCTTACAATTTCTGCTGTCACACAACTGTTTAACATCCAAAGAGGTTTTTGCTATGATAAGAAAGCTAATCTTCTTTACATTATTGTCATTTTTCTTTTCCTGAAAAAATTTCCAACTCTTCCAAAAGCTGTGTCATTGTTATATATTACAACACTACATTTATCATGTGGTGATGGTGAGGTGCCTTTCAAATTCCTGCTTCTCACAAGTGGCCATGGAAAGAGCCCCCTTCCCCATATGTTCCAGTGTTAGACTCCAGTGGATATGCATAGGCAGAGAGGATGTGTCCCTCTAGTTATTGCAGAATTCCCATCAGCCTGAATGGTAAAGGAAGCACTCTGGCAACTTACGAAGCCTACAGATTCTCCACTTCTGACATCTGGCACACACAATGAATATCTGAGCGGGCACTGATTTTGCATAATGGGCTCGAGGAGTGAAGTGGGAGCCAGATGCTCAGTATGAGGTTCCTCATAGCCTTTGCTTGAGAAAGCAAAGAACAAATATTTGCATATTTTCTACTCAATCAAGCAGATGAAGAGTTTTAGTTTCACCCTATGAACAGTGATATGTCAGTCAGTGTATCTTGGGCAAGAAAGGGGAATATGACTTCTCTCTTAAACAGGAAGCTCTAAAATCTTTTCCTTCTCTTCCAATCAAACTCAACTCAAGATCCCCACCCTTACTTCCTAGGCTGTACTACATTGCTGGCTAGACCTTCTTTGTAGGACAGTGATGGCAAACCTTTTAGAGACCGAGTGCCCCAAAACCATCCCGTTCCTTCTCTGCCCTGCCTGCTGGGCCACCCACCACTTCCACGGCCCATCACAGATCACCCAGGCAGCCCAGCAGCACCATGGTGGCCATGCCCTCCATCTGTGCCCTGCAGCAGCATCTGTGTGTGATGGGAGGCAAGGGCGGAGTCTTGTCCCCGCTGCCCAACTACCATGTCCTTGGCTGTGCTGCTTTGTGTGGGCCGCACCCGGGGGCAATTCTTCTCCAGGGGGTTGCTGATGAGGAGGGGGCCATGGGAGGCGGCGGGGCTGGGATGATTGCGTGTGCCCACAGAGAGGGCTCTGAGTGCTGCCTCTGGCATGCATGCCATAGGTTCGCCACCACTGCTATAGGACCATGCTCTTCCAAGCAAGGAAGACCAGCAGTGAAGAGGTTTTGATAGAAATAGCTTATGTGGGTGCCAGTCCAATCCATTCCCTTGCTATGACCTTCCCCTTCGTGAAAATTCCAGCAAATGACTGTTTTCAAAGGCATTCCAGTCTTAGCTTAAGGGGTTGTAAAGCCAGCCTGCACTGAAAAGATGTGACTAATTAATTTTGTGGGTACAGACAGTTGAATGTGTGCTACGTGGTGCATGTGCTGTGTGGGTGAATCTTGTTTGCATGCAAGTATGGTGGATTTGTGTAGTTTGTGTGGGTGGTGATGGTGGGCCAGCTTAAACTTTTAGTGATGTGGGCACAAAAGAGATGCCTTCTGCTCCTTTGCTTTTGCCTGTAGAATAAAGAATGTGTGTGTGTTTTTGTGTGCCTGTGTGCAAATGTACATAGGGGGTTTGTTTTGCTTGTTTCTATGCAGCCTACCCTTGATCAAACAGAGCTGGAAAGAGGCACTGCAGCTGGCTGCTATAGTAGCATTTGTGGTCACTCTCTGATAATAATTAATTTAAAAACCCCTTTGCATCCTGGAAGGTCTGATATGCTTATCTCTCTCAGCTTCTGTACCTGGAGTTAATATATATTTTTGTCTTTTGTCTCACTATGTGAATCTACATGATTCTCTTCTGTTGTCATCCACAGCATTTTTCTATTGCACAATATGCAAGCAAGATTGAACCCTTAAGGCTATTCAGGCTGGAGGAGCAAAAAATGTGAAAGTCTGGAGCTGTGAATGTCAAGTGTAGCAAGAAAAGCCTGACAGTTAGCTCAAATTCCCATACCAGGCTCTCTCACCCTTGTCCAGATGGAGAAGTCAGGAAGATACAGAGTACCAGACCTTTCAGTTTTTTTATATCTGAGATCTGCTTCAACCACTGCTGTTAGCCCTGTGCAACCTCATCCAGTGATATTTTTATAGAAATGTAAATCTACTAATTTACTTCCCGATATAGAACTTCAAACATACCCATGGAGACATATAGAGGTGGTTGACAAGTTTACACACACATACATACATACACGCACCATGTGTCATTTTTATGTGATCTAGTGCTTAAATTCAGACCAAAAACAAAGAGGCAGTTCTTGACTCACAGTGCTAAAGACAGAAATCTTAGCTTTGGAACCTGACTCAGATCTGTACTAGGTAATAACAACATTATTTGGTGACTTGTCCTGTCATTATGTTTCCATCTAATCTATATTGAAAGGAAGAAAATTATCCCCAATATGACACCAAATGCTGTCATAGTAAAGACACAGTGCAAATATAAAACATGCATGACTACATTTTCTCCTGCAGTTATTCGTGTCATGTCTTATTTTGCTTTTTAAAAACCTTCCATGTAGTTTTCTATCAGTTAAACAAATGAACAAAGTGGATTAAAATATCTAAGATAAAATCCTTCTGAAATTAAGTACATATAATTTTATTCATACAGAGGAAGTTTCGAACCTTCATTTCCTGAGAAAATCATTGATCCTTCCTTCCTTCCTTCCTTCCTAAAAACAAGTGCATTTGGCAGGATTTTTAATAGATTTTTTTTCTTTCTGCCTTTTAAATTACTTCTCTCTCTACAGAATCCATAGTGATCTGTACAGGTATCCTCATGAAAGATTTTGAATGACAGCTGGAATATTAGATGGTTATTGCTATTAACCTATTTATAGAATGGGAAAGTGAATGAACTAGAAAAAGGAAAGGGGGTTTTAAGAAAAAAGGAACGAAAGGAAAACTGGATTATTGCACTTTTAATAACATCTAGTGAAGCAAGATGAAATGATCCCCTTCAGTTTCTCCATGCACATATAGAGTATTTGGAAAGGCTAGAACTGTATACAGCAATACTGGGCCCATTCCATTCCTTTGTGGTATGCTTTCTCTGTTGCCTCATCTTCCCTCAGTGTTTCCCCCCCCCCCCAAAGATCATTTCAGTGATGTAAGTGGCAGGATTCTTTTTTTATTCTATGCATGTGATATATATATAAAAACAACAAGGTGAACACCAGGAAATATAAACAGTAAGTTTAATAAATAAAACCAAGCTTTCAATGGCCTAAAAACTGCCATCATCATCAGGGTATAAACAGGATGCTGGGAGAACTTGCTTATAAATGTAATTGTGTCTGCACACGGCTCCTGGATCTCGTGACAGGTCCCGGCTGGTAAAACTTTGCCTCGTCTACAGAATTGATTAGTTCATCATTGCATCTTTTACTTACACGTGTGTTACCACCCACCTCCCCCGCTTCCCGTGTTCATAAGTCAGGAGGACGTCCCGTGATACACACATACACAAAATCAATTTGTTATCATGCTTCTTGAATTGCGCTAGTGTTTTAGTTTTAACCTTGTATGCCACCTAGAGTCACTTCAGTGAGCTGAGTGGCTATATAAATTGTTTTTTAAAACCAATAAACACTTGACAGTTTGTATACGAGTATCTTATGTCCTTGACATCATCAGTCTTGTACTGGAAAGGGAGGGAGGGGGTTGAAGGTGAAATTTGGAACTTTAAACCTTTTAAAATAAAGTCACTGTGCAAAATTCTGGCATACTTCTTGGTTTTTTTTATAAGCAATCCAAAATGAGAGTCTCTGAAATTTCCAGGGATTTCAAATTATCTTGGGCTTGTTATAGCTGCAATAACTTATTGTTTCTATGTTTTTCACCTTTTTTTAATAATCCATACAGGAAGAGAAATGTTTCATTCTCTGTAAATGTAAATACTTAACAATCTTCTTATCCTACCTAACTCTATTCTGTCCCATTCCATCCAAAGACAGAAGGATCTGTATTTGAACCCATGCAAGACATAGTTTTTGTTTGTGTATCAAGACTCTCAAATTAGTCCTAATGTCTATCGATGATAAGCACTTGGTACCCTCTTTTTTTAACAGGTGAATTTTAAATTATAAATCAAACTTAGGAGTTTGTACCTTCTGGTGACAGTAAGATGTAATTTGGGAGGATTTGCAGAGGACAATTGGTGGGAATGTTTAAGTTGATATACTGTCCCAGTTGGATTTCCAACATAACTTAAAAGCAAATTGGATATGGTGAAAAGGCTTTTGTAGGAAGCAAGCTGTGTTTGGTGTTCTCATGTAAGTGTCTTAGGGATTAGGGAATGGAACCACAAGGTGAAATACCACAGTAATTTGTGTTTGACTTCCAGACATCCACATACATCAGGGATCCCCTGCAACTTTAATTAGAACCTTGTTCTCACAACTTCTCATTTTTAATGAGGGCCTTTCTGATAAGCACAGCAATATATTACTGATGAAGCACCACCCTCCTATTGTGACACTGCAGGGTTTCACACTATCATTGAGGAATTTTAAAGCTCATAATAATATCACAGGCATGATTATATGCTGCATGTTCAGAAATAAGAGCCATTAAATTTTCTCTATAGTTTATGAAAATTTTGTTGCTTTTAATAAATTTATTATGCCCCTGTAGTTCCCAGAATTCTTTCCAAAACTACAGTAAGCAATATATGCCATACACATCTGATAACCTTTACAATATTGTCCAACACAGTAATTATAATGGTAGTGCATATTTGAAAAGATTTTTTTCTTTGGACTAACAAAACTGAATCTGCTTTTTAAAGTAACTTTTAAGTAACAACCTCACATTTCCCATAGGCACATTTGAAAGGGCATGTGATATTCTTTTTTTTTTCATCACTCCTTAACTATCTAACTTAAGAGGCTGGGATATGATGGAGTAAATTATTCCTTTTAAATTATGTGTTTATGGGCTCTCTGTTTGGGTGTGTGTGCGTATTCTTCCACCACAACTAAAAGCAGGATAAAATGCAGGACAAAGATTGCTTTTACATTAGGAAAAACGTATGACTTTGATGTATTCAGGGTCCCTCACATAGATGTTTTTAATTATTATAAGATTGACAAGATTCAAGGAAAGCCAAAATTCCATCTAACTCAAAGACAGAAATTGACCAGATGTTAGAAATGTACAAAAGCTCTCTGTACTGTGAGGAAAAGGTATAATTTGAGTTGATCTTGAAATACAAAATTTTCCTCAAATCCCTACTTGTCACTTCAAACCCACTAGATCACAGGTGTCAAACATGATCCCATCACGGGCTTATCGTGACATATCGGGACCTTTTTTTTGCCTTTGTGGGGCTGGGGTGGGCGTGACCTACATGGGCCACATCCGCCCTGCGGGCTGCGTGTTTGACATACCTGCACTAGATGAAGTGAGCTTTATATGCTCTTCTTCTAAAGTCTCCTCTGGAGGTGTCCAAAATCACATACAGAAATTTGGATTATAGCAGGGTATCTTAGCAACCAGAGATATGGAAAAGTTCAAGGTATAAAGCTGAGGTAAAGCCATATAACAACTGAAGGAGATGGAACTGTGTGCCCACTTGATCATCCTCCACATTCGTTTAAGTCTTGTATGTAATGTCCCATGTGTGTTACATGACTTCAGAAGTGCTGCTTTTTATATCTGCACAACAGGTAGAAATGCAAGAAAAGACAATTTCCTTGTAGGAAGAGTGTTACTATCGAATTTCAGCTTACTAGGAAGAACCTGGTTCAGGCAATTTAATTCAAAAAATGTCAACAAAGTTTAAAGAAACACAGATGGCAGTATCAAATACCTGTGGGGAGTTGTAACTATTCCCAGTGCATCCATTTCCATCTATCAATTGAACTGTTGCTAATACAATAAACTTCTATCATACAGCTTTTAAAGACATAGAAGAGCTTCTGGAGAGGAAAAAAAAGGAACATTACTATTCCACTAGAAGAAAAGACATATTGCTTAGGTTGAACTGTGTAGCCCTTGGCTTTCAGGGCTTTGGTCCCCAAGTCTCCAGTTGTGAGACCATGTTTCTGAAGCTGCGTTCATTAGATTAGTTGGGATTGTTGCTAATGTATCAACATCCCTGCTGCATGGCAACCTCCCTGCCTGAGCTGCTGCAGGCCATTTCAGGGTTGGCAGTGAATGTTTATGAAGATTCTCAGCCATCCAGGTCATAGTTATCCCTTTTATACAAGGCAACTGGTTGTTTTTTCTTAAAGATATTTTGCTTCTCATCCAAGAAACGTCTTCAGCTCTGAAGAGGCTTCTTGGATGAGAAGCAAAACATCTTCAAAGAAAAACAAGAAAGTCCAGTTGCCTTGTAAAAAAGCACCTTTGGGTTGGCAGTGAAATTCCCCAGGCTTATGGTCCTGGGAGACTTCAACCTGCCATGGGCCTATGGCCCAGATTATCTTAAGCCTGACTCAGGACAGCGGTCACCCAGCAGATATAATATTCTTGTTAAAGTGATGGCAATGTGATCTGGTGGGGGATCTAACATTATCCCCCCTGCAATGTGCTCTACATGGGCTTAACCTTGAAGAGTATTTGGAAGCTTCAACTGGTGCAGAATGCATCTGCGCAGGCAGTTCTTGGGATCCCTAGGTGACCTATGTTACATCATTGTTCTGTGAGCTGTACTATCTGCCAGCTTGCTTCCAGGTCCACTTCAAGATGTTGGTTATTACTGATGAAACCTTCCACACCATGGCTATCTGAGAAACCAGCTCACCTTGATGGGATTAGCCACTTCACCCACATTGGCAGAAGGGGGATTCTGTGGACCCCATTGGCAGCACTTTAAAGAAGCTCCACTTTTTTCTTGATTTTGAAGGAATGGTTACTTTGAGGTACCACTGATGGGCAATCACACTTGTAAAGTTTTCTGACTCTAGGACGTGGTCCTTATTTTAGTTTTTTAGCTGAGGGAGCCAGCATTGTCCAAATACATTTCTGTGGTCATGTGGCCAGGCAGGATTTCCTGCCTGAGCAGGGGGTTGGACTAGATGACCTCCAAGGTCTCTTCCAACTTTATTATTATTATTATTGTTATTATTTTGGATCATCGCACAGACAGCCAGATGTTCAGACTGGATTTGGCATTTTGTCTACCCTATCGAGTCCTTATCCAGGACCTGGGATAGGCAGATGTGGATGTTTGATGGTATTACAGATATTGTCGCAGGATGGAAGCAGTTCCTAGTAAGGCCGCCTTTTGCAATTGACTAATAGCGATTTATTATTATTATTATTATTATTATTATTATTATTATTATTATTATTATTATTATTATATGCTGAGGTGCACGGAACACTGTTACCTTACCACCAAAGTAGTACCTTTTTATCTACTCACATTTGCATGTTTTCAAATTGCTAGGTGGGCAGGAACTATGGCAAATAATGGGAGCTCACCCCATTTCCAGCTGAAATTTCAGTATCTTTAACCACTGAGCCATTACAACCCCGAGTCACAGTTTTACCATATCCAAAACACTTCTTTAGGGGATCTGAATTCTGAAGATTGCAAAAAAATCCAAATAACCACTAGAAGGCAAAAAAGAGACATTTCTATGTTTCCTTGTTGCCATGTGGTAAAACATCCAGATTTTTGAGACTGAGATGTGCTAAACCTAATTGTAAATACACTTCTGTCTACCTATAAGTAAGGAAGATAACCTTGACAAAGATATGAGGGAACCTAGGCCAGTGATGGCAAATCTTTTAGAGACCGAGTGCCCAAACTGTAACACAAAACCCACTTATGCATCATTGGCTGCCGGGTGGGTGTGGCCCATTGGCTGGGTGTGGCCCATTGGGTGGGCATGGCCAATTGGGTAGGTATGGCTGCAGTGGTAACGGCAGACTGTGTCAGACTAAAAAGTTCAATCAATCAATTCCAACTTTGCAAGACATTTTTTTCCTGCGAGAAGTTGAAATTGACTGATTTGATTGAACCTTTTTTTTTTTTTTTTGCACACGGCCTAGGACTGGAGCGATGGCATGCATGCCACAGAGAGGGCTCTGAGTGCCGCCTCTGGCACCCGTGCCATAGGTTCACCATCACTGACCTAGGCCAAAGGGATGAAACATTTTTGAATTCTGCAATGAGATTACATTTGGAAGTACCTTAGTATTCCTATTTAACTAAATAATATGAAGGAGGAGGAGATACAATCACACTTGCAAGCTTCTGTTTTTGTAGCCGGACTCAATAAAAGAAGCTTTAGCTTTCCTGTGCAATGGATTTCTAGATCTCCCTAGAGGGCCTGGCAAATTTAGCTGAAATTTTGCTGAGCAGTTGATTCCAATTATCAATCTCTGAGCATTTGCAAAGAACAAAGACAATCTTATCCCTACTTCTAACCTTAATGATGGGTCAAGCCTGTTTTCAGTTTCTGTTCAGTTATTCTGATTTATGGGAATAGTTATGGTCATGTTAGTAGAGTACCTTGCTTCAAAAAGACATCACAGGACTGGTTAATGCTATAAAAATCCTTAATTTATGAATTATTCTTTTTAAAAAAAAAATATTACATGAGTCTCTGCCAGGCAATTTCAGGAGAAAGAGAGAGAGAGATCCAGTTCCCTATCACTATAAGCAGCTGATGTTAACTATGTTGGGCTTCTCACAACTTATGGGCTCTTCAGAATTTGGCTTGTGTTCACTGCCTCTTCCTGGCTCACTGGTAGATTCACGCTCTTGCTGTCCTCCATTACCATTTTGGGTAATCTTGCTGATCTCCTTTACTTTAGCTAACATTTCCTCTTCTTCCTCCTCCTCCTCCCCCTCTTCCTCTTCTTCCATGTTATCTGCAGTGGTTGCCATGGCTACTTCTTGGTTCTGCACTCGGCGTGAGGGTCTCAAGATGGCTTTGCGAAAACCCTGTTTGAATCGGTAGGAGAGGAAGCCATAGATGATAGGATTGGTGCAACTGTTGGCATAGGGCAGGACAACAACCAGAAAGTAAATTCCAAAGAGTGATGGTTCCTCAGGCAAAGTCCAGATGACGTTGATGATATTGAGCATATAGAAAGGTAGCCAACAGAGTACAAAGACTGCCACCACAATTACTACCATGCGTGTGATCCTCCGTTCAGAGCGTTTGCGTTTAGCTGTCAGTGCTTGCACCTTTCTGCCTGATGAACGAACTTTGACAACAATAAGCAGGTAACACAAGCAGATAACCAGCAGTGGCCCAAAGAAGCCGAGTGTAGCTGTGTAGATGATGAAACCAGCTTTCCATACTGAAGCAGGCTCAGGCCATTTAATGTGGCATGTACTCATACCATGAGGCACTTCTGAAAACACCACCACAGGAAGCACCACCACAGATGAGATTACCCACACAGTGGCACTGACAGTCTTAGCGACTCGGATTGTCCGCCATTTTGAGGATTTCACAGGGTGCACCACAGCTAGATAGCGGTCAATGCTCATTACGGTGAGGCAGAAAATACTAGTAAATTGATTTATGGCATCCACAGCCATTACTAGACGGCACATAAATGAGCCAAAAGGCCAATATGATAAAGCATTTTGTGCTGCCAAGAAGGGTAGGCCAAGCATAAAGAGTTCATCTGCCAGTGCCAAGTTGAAGATATAGATGTTAGTCACTGATTCACTAACTGAATGGCACAAAACCACATAAATGACTAGAGAATTTCCAGCTAGTCCTACAACACAGACAATGAGATATACCAGGGGAATAAGGACACCACTAATATCTAGGCCCAGACTAGAAGCTAGAGATAAATTTCCAGAAAGAAAGGCTGTACCAGAAGTTGTTGAATTCTCTTCCCAAACAGCCACTGTGGTTGAGAAGTTGAAACTGTCCATGGCAGAAAAAGGAGCGGCAGGACAGAATTATCCACAGGATCCCTTTGGAGACTCTGTATTTGACAAGAACAGAAATAGATAATTTATCATTCACCTTATAATCCACAAGCATTTTAGATAGTCAATATGTAACTCTGCAGAGAACTTAAGATATGGAATAGCAAATGATGGCCAGTGAATCTCATGACTACAGGCTAGAATTGTCTATATATCTCTATTGCTTCTACCGTAATGTTGGCTATAGTGGATATTTAGCTTTCAGCAACACTTATTCCTGAGTTAAGGCACAACTAAGAACTGGAATCAATGATAAATTTTCAGAGAAAATTGGTAGAATAAAGGGAAAAAAGAAACTTGCCGTGTTCAAAAAAAATTCTTGGAAAATAGGGCAATCTTTATCTTCAGAATATCACAAGAGAGCAGATTGTTATGTATAATGAGGTTGGGCATCAAACAGATCATGAGAACAACATAACATCCTATCAGGTGGCCAGAATAAGGACCAAACTTAGGTTCCATACCTAATAAAAATGAGGCTCAAGAGCCATAACAGATAGAACTCTAATGTACATCAAGGCATATTTTTCAACCAACTCAATCATCCTGCATTGGCAAAATTATTTGCTCTAAAGGCAAATTAGATCCAGGAGTTCATTCATAACACATGCTCAAGATGGTGTTTCTAAGAAAAGCAAGTCCTGTCAGCTAAATATTTAATTGATGACAATATAGCTATAGAGCAGACATGTCAAACTTGCGACATCACGTGACATCATGCAACGTATCGGGACGGTTTTGCCATTGCCGGCAATGGGCGAGCACGGCTTCCGGATGACATGTCTGGCCTGCGGGGTGGCAGTTTGACTCCCTGCTATAGAGAGTCAGTTTGATGTTAAAGGTTCTGGTTGCAAATCGGGAGACTGTGAATTCTAGTCCTGTCTTAGATATAAAACCGTTAGGTGATTCTGAGCTAGTCAATCTCTCTCAGCTCTAAGAAGATAATGGCAAACCACTTCCAAACACAACTTTTTTCAGCTTGAGGACCAGAGCTGACCTTTAGTAATCTACCAAAAGACAAATTCCAAAATGTCAGTAAGATAATGATGAAGAAGTAGATAATCAGGGCAAAAACTAAATTTGGATGGATCAGAACAAAAACAGAATATTTTCAGACAGGCATTTAAATTGCATTCTTTAACTGATTATTTCTCATGTATTTAAGAAAGTCTTGTTACTATTCCATTGTCAGTGAGAACTTTTAAAGGAAGTCTTGTAACAATATCCCAAGGTTTTTTTTTTTATGGCTGCATGCAATACTGGCTCTCCACTTATATATCAGTCTTATCTTAGCCTACTTAAAAAAAAAAAAGAATAATGACTGGAGGAGATTATAGGGCATGGAAAGAATGAAAACAGGATTTTATGACTGAATAAAACAGAGGTAGGCAACCTAATCCCAGTTAACTCCCAAAACTCAACATGAGGCTAGGTATGTCTAATCTACTGTATGTGCAGTACTTCAAACTTTGTGAACCACTTTCCAACAAAAAAGACACTAAAACACATATATTATAAAGGAGACAAAAGAAAAGGCACTTGAGATGCATTTATATTAAAAATAACATCCAGAAATTCCTTATATTAGGGGACTTTTTACAACAAAACATTTGAAGCAAAACTGAACATAAATATTATATATTAGATGATGATGATGATGATGATGATAATAATAATAATAATAGTAATAATAAGTTGGAAGAGGCCTTGGAGGTCATCTAGTCCAACCCCCTGCTCAGGCAGGAAACCCTATACCATTTCAGACAAATGGCTGTCCAATCTCTTCTTAAAGACTTCCAGTGTCAGAGAATTCATAGCTTCTGGAGGCAGGTTATTCCACTGATTAATTGTTCTGTCAGGAAGTTTCTCCTTAGTTCTAGGTTGCTTCTTTTTTTGGTTAGTTTCCATCCGTTGCTTCTTGTCTTGCCTTCAGGTGCTTTGGAGAATAGCTTG